AACTCCATTGTTACAAAAAGGAATGCAATCACTCACAGATTAAACATAAATACATGACTTGGAATTCTCTGCCTCTTAATGCTTTCGTGCTAAACCAGGGCTTATTGAGCCCAGGTAAGTTCCCCCTTTTCCCCATCAATTATGTTTTAGGAGTTGACTTGGGTATCTTACTTTGCCTCAGAGATAACTTGTTAGTCAAGTCATGGTCTCTTCCATTTCTTTCAGAGGAAGCAGTTTATAATCAGGTGAACAGTAATAATCAGGTGCCCCGAGGATGTCAGGAGACCTTTCTCACGAGACACCCCAATGCTTGCTCAATGGGCTCAAGTATAAAATGACAAGGATAGAAGGTATGTACGGGCTCACACCACTTAACATGGTTTTCCTGGCTGAGTGCCTGATTTGCCAGCAGCAGCAAGAGTAACCAACTGTAAGCCTCTGAAATGATATCCTTACTTTGAAGATCTTGCTTGCGGAAGACTTATTGGACCTCTTTGGGGACAGCAGAGAATCTTTACTGTAATACACACTGGATTAAATTTGCTTTTCCTGCCCATCATGCCTCTGCCAACACCATCAATTAGGGGATGGTATTATCAAGCCATTACACATCCATCAAGACATTACATTCAGTATCATATCTTATCAAAGAACTCACTTTACTATGAGACAAGCAAGGTAATAGGTTAATTTCTATGTGATTTACCAGTCTTTCCATATACCTCATCATCCAGAAGAAGCCAAACCTATAGGATGATAGGGTGGCACTCAGTTATGGCACAGACAAGGTGAAGCACCTTTGAAAGTTGGGATGCTGTCCTGAGGTTTGCAGAGTGTGCTCTGAACCAGTGACTAATAAATGGCGGTGCCTCCCCCATATGACCAGTATACACAGATCCAGTTCTTACTCTCCAGTCTTCCTGTTCATTTGGTGAACTACAAAATAAATTCCTTTTCTGCTTAACTGGATAACTTGTTTCTACTGCTTACAAAATAAGTATCTAAGCTAAGATATAATGCTTACTCTCCCTCCCCTCTCCCAGACCACACTCATTCTTAGCAATTACCAGTCCTGTCTTATTCCTTTAGTCCTATCTTGATAATACGGAATCATAACTGATACTGTGATTTTACAGGCTGATGTGTTACATCTTGAAGGCATAGTTCGTAAATCTTTTTTACCTTCAAGGACTCCTTTTATCACTTTTCTTTGACATACCCATGTTATGATGTTGTCACAAAATTGCATTTATTATCTATTTCTCCATTAAGTAATCAGGGACATTTTCTGATCAGCATGACATGCAGTGTTACGGAATTAAATTTTACTTAAAAGAGAAAAAAAAGAAGCCTGTGCATTATAGCTTTATTAAGAATAAAAAGTATATGTTAGACTTTTCAAATTATTAAAAATAAAACGTAAAACGTCATACTTTTGTGGACCCTTAGAAACACAGGAATCTCATTTAACACTAAAATTTCAAAAACTGACTCTAAGAAATGTAAAACTACTCTACTTTGCAAAAGTGTCACTCCTCCACAGTAAAATAGTGAATAAAGTGCTCTGGGTTCTTTGTATCCAAGAGTATAAAAATATACCCATTTTGAAGAATGGAAAAATTATTTTTAAGAAAATAGGAGAAGGCATTTCTCTGCCCTATTTTTAATGCAGTGCAGTCTGGAGCATTCCCAGTCTGAACAGAAAGGGGTATAGGAGAAATACATTGGATTCTTCATTATTGTGGAGGCAGAAAGGGTGGAGAGGAATAGGTGGCATTCATTCCCTCTTGTCCTCTGTGGGTTCAGAATTCATGTCTCAGTGTATGTATGTTTAGCTAGCTGAAAGGCCACCAACATTCACTGAGTTTACAGGGTCTTTTCACTTGGATTCACAATCCCTCCCTCTCCCTGCTTTATTTCTGAGCATGTTTAATGTCCAGGGTGCCTTAAGAATATGAAGGCTGAGTTATGACAATGAATATGATAGATTTAACTGCTTAACAATAAGGGGATGGGCCAGTGTACTGAACCAATGAACAGCAGATGATCTTGTTGGTATCTGCTCTAACAGGGAATGCAGCCTGTCACTTTTCATTCTCATAGCAAGTACAAACCAGAAGCACAATAAATGCAGGTGTCTTCAGAATTCTCAGAAATTTAGAGCAGTGATTTTGGGGAAGGAAAACCAGAGAGCCTTGTGTGAATTCTGTCCTGTCACATTTACCTCTTGGTATTCTTTCTAAATCACTCTGAAATGCTACAGACTAGCATCCAGAAAAAATAAAATAATGTCTGAATGGCAAAGTCCTTTCTTGAAACATATAAATTCCTCGACTTTTTGGTATGAAGATTTTCAAACTCACAAAAAGTTGAATAGTACGATGAATACCTGTATGCCCCCCATGTGGTTTTTCATTTTTATTTTTTAAAATATTCTTTTTTTTTTTTTTCTGTAGTTTTACTTATTTATTTATTGGCCATGCTGTAGGGCATGCAGGATCTTAGTTCCCTGACCAGGAATCAAACCCAGACCCCCGCCGTGGAAGTGCAGAGTCTTAACCACTGGACCACCAGGGGAGTATCACCTCACCGCCCCCCCGCCCCCCCCCCCCGCACTGTAAAGTCAACAGTTGTTAACATGTTGCTGCATTTGCTCTACCTACTTGTTTATCTACATTTATTTTAGGATTTTATTTACATTTATTTTAGCAATTTGGAAGTAAGTTGCAGATATTATGACACTTCATCTGTAAATACTTCAATACACATCTCTTTAGAATAATGACGTGACTTAAAGTAGCTATTTTTAATGAAAGTAATAGTAATCTTCTAACACAGGGGTCAACAAACTATGGCCTGCAGGCCAAATCCTGACTTGTAAATAAGGTTTGACTGGAACACAGCCGTGCTCATTCATTCAATGAATGAAATTCATTCATTTACATATTGTGGCTGCTCTTGTGCTACATCAGCAGAGTTAAGTAGTTGCCAAAGAGACCATATGGCCCAAAAGCCTAAAATCTTTACTATTTGGCTCTCTATAGAAAAAGCTTGCCAACTCCTGCTCTAATAAATACAAGTGTGGAAATATTTACAAAATCTTCATGAGCCAAAGGATTTGACTGTTGTTCTTGCATGGCAAGTGTTTCTTCCCCTAGCGTTTGGGTTTTGCAATGTTGTGAACCACAACTTAAGTTGTGGATGGGTGGCTGCAGTGGGGAGTTAGGGAGATAGGAGTGGGACTGAGGAAGAGAACTAACATCCACTGCACACTTATTATGTACACGGCCCTGTTCTAGGTGCTTCATACACCATTATGTTTACTGTGATCCTCATAACAATACCATGAGGTAGACATTATTATTCCAGTTTTTTGATGAGGAAGCTGAAGCTTAGAGAGGTTAGACAATTTGACCAAAGTCCTGCAGGTATTAAATAGAAAAACCAAGAACCTAAATATATCTCCAAAAAGATATGGCAAAAATCAGTTAAGATACCCTAGGAAGAATTCTCAAACATTTTGTGGTCATGGTTCATATATATGAATGTATGGATGAATGAGTACTTTGGGCTTCCCCAGCTTCCAGTACAAAACCATGGTAAGATCCCTGTGAGAAAGCACCTAAGGCCTTTCTTTAAAATATAGTGAGGACGGGGCTTCCCTGGTGGCGCAGTGGTTGAGAGTCCGCCTGCCGACGCAGGGGACACGGGTTCGTGCCCTGGTCCAGAAAGATCCCACATGCCGCGGAGCGGCTGGGCCCGTGAGCCATGGCCGCTGAGCCTGCGCGTCTGGAGCCTGTGCTCCGCAACGGGAGAGGCCACAACAGTGAGAGGCCCGCGTACAAAAAAAAAAAAAAAAATATATATATATATATATATATATAATGAGGACATTAAGAAAACAAAACAAAATATATATATCGTGAGGACATATATTAAGGACCAGAAATTTGGTATTATAAAATGAAAAGCACCGAGGAAAGTCACCTCAAGTGCTTTAATCATATACTTTCTAAAATGCGGGTAATATCTGGCCTGATTACTTTGAGGGAAAGTAGATATTAAAAAGCATTCAAAGTATAGAGCTCATTATAAAAGTGTAAGGCATCATTAGTTTGTGTCTCTGTCTAAGCATGCATGCCTCAGAACCAACTAGGCTATTTCATTCCTCTCTACTTCTCAAATTTATGTATGAGAATCGTGGAGGCTGCTCATTAACCTCAGATTCCCGGGCCCTACATCCAAAGATTTCTTCCACAGACCTGGGTGGGGCCCAGGACTCAGAATTCCAGGTGATTCTGAATCAGGTGATCTGGGAGCCATACTTTGAAAAATACTGCTTTAAGATATAATTGATGTTTCACAAGCTCTATTGAAAACAACCACTTTTTTTATTAAAAAGGAGCTCTTTACGTAACAATACGTGCTGTAAAATAATACAATGTAAAATAATTCAAGCAGTACTGAAACATACAAAGTAAAAGTAAATGTTCTCTCCTCACCACCTACTCTTATCTCTCATCCAACATACGTTCCGATGACTAGTTTTCCAGACTTGAATTGTCTGTGCATATACCAACATATATACTGGTGAAGAATGATGAACATTTGATGTTTCTATTTTTGTTTTGCTATTAAAAATTAATGCTGAAATAAATATACTTATTCTCATGTCTTTGGGCATGAGAATGTAGGATAGATTCCTAAAAGTTGACACACGATGACAGCTTACCTAGTGGTCAGATTTTACCTTTATTTGCGTGTGTGTGTCTGTGTGTGTGTGTGTGTGTGTGTGGTGGTGACTTTCTGTGCCTAATATTTTGAATGATTCGTTACTGATATCTGTATCAAGGTCCAACGTTCACAACAAAAAGATTTTTAATTAGACCTGTTATCACCCCCAGTGAAAATTCGGCTTACAAGTTCCCACTAACACGGCCACAAAAGAGGTGAGTTTAGGGGAGCCAGAGGGGGGCGCCACCGTTCTCTGACAACTTGTACAGGCAACTTGGGTGAGTGCACGGAGCTTCTTCAGCTCCGGCGGAACCGACGGCAGAGGGTAGACCCGGGAGCTGCGGCACACCCCGGTCCTCCCCGAGTCTCTTCAAGAGCCCCGACTTGGGGCAGAGATGCGCTCAGCGGCGCTAAGACCGAGGTCCAGCCGCCGCCGCCGCCGCCTCTTCTCACCGCTCCTCCCGCCTCACTCTCAGTCGGTTTCTCCAACTCGCGTCCGGTTCCACGTTCCTCAGTCCTCAGCTATGAGCAGCGGAACAACACAGACGGCGAGGTTTACGGCCCGCAGCCGGCAGGTGAACAGCACCAGTCAGCTGCCGAAACAATTCGAAGCCCCTAGAGATACCCACATCAGCCCTTCTCTTCTTGCCCCGCCCCTTCCGCTTGTGATTTGCTTCAGCTTCCGGTCACGGGGTCTCAGCCCTGACGTGAAGCGCTTGGAATTGTGGGATTTCCTTCCTTTCTCGCTCTCCGGCCATCTTGGCGGCTGCAGTGGGTGAGTAGGCTGTTCTGTACCGAGGTTTAGGCCACGCGGGGAGTCCAGGGAGTTGCTGTTTGGAGCTTCGGATTCTAAACTTCCTGTCTTGTCCTCTGTGTTCTAGGCTGGGGGCGTCCCGCGCCTAAGGCAGGAAGATGGTGGCCGCAAAGAAGACGGTGAGTGTAGCAGGCCAGGGCTGGAAGCCTGTTCACATGGAGAGATGAGTCTCGGCCGGGGCGGGCGGGTCCGAGCACAGTGGGCGCACAGCGTGCCCGCTGGCCTTGTAGGGGTCCAAAATGAACCCGAAGGACTCTCCCAGGGATTTGGGACCCTCTGCGGAGGTTTTATTAAGGGGTTCAGCTTCCAGGAAGCTGGATCCAGTTTTAAGTGGTTACAAACAAGGCCTTCAAGTCCGTGTTACATGTTTGCTTTGTAGAAAAAGTCACTGGAGTCGATCAACTCTAGGCTCCAACTGGTTATGAAAAGTGGAAAGTACGTGCTGGGGTACAAGCAGACTCTGAAAATGATCCGACACGGCAAAGCGAAACTGGTCATCCTCGCCAACAACTGCCCAGCCTTGAGGTAATTGAAAGAACCTGAGTATGTTTGTCGCCCACTGCAAATTGGTCGTGAGCGAATATCCAGGAATGTGAACTTGCAATCTGGGTAGCATAAACTGGGTATCATGTAAAATTTTGTATTACAGAGGGACACCTGGAGAATAATTTAACGGTTGTTGATTTTGGGCTCTTGATTTTTCTCCCCCTCATCATATTCTCTCCTCGTATGAGGTTCTCTTTGGGAGAAATGCGTGGCAGAAGGGGTGAAAACCAGAGAACGTCAAAGTTTGAGGGCAGTGCAGAAACATAACTTTGTTTGTCCATGTGTCCTGCCTTTTGGGCCGTTTTTTTTTTTTTTAACTTTAAGATGCTTTAAAAGAGCTTCATTTTATGAACTTGCTGTAGTGTAGAAAAGCTAAGATCAGAGAAGTTCAGGCTGGCCTGTGGAGCTGCAGGTTCCCCGTTCACCCAGTTTTTGCTTGCCTCACTGTTTTGAAACTGAATTTAGTTGGTATTTTATATAAGTTAAAGAAACTTGGACCATGCAGAATATAAGCCGTGTTTTCAGTCCCTTTCCCTTGTTGATTTTCTGTGGTAATATATAACCTCACAGCATTTTATATAGTGTCTGTAGGTAATTGGCAAAGCCTGGAGAGATCTCTTCTTCCATCCCATCCCCTCCCAAACCTTTGGTCTTATTCCAAACCTTTCATGCTTACCTTCTATAGCAGTGCTTTTCAAACATGAATATGCACACAGTCACGAATGACCTGGTTTAAATGCAATTTCTGATTTAATGTATCTGGATTGGGGCCTGAGATTATGCATTTTTAACAAGCGCCTTTTGGCACTGCTTGTCTGCGGATGCACACTTTGAGTAGTGGCAACAGTGTATTAGGACTCCCTTCAAATTCGTAAAACCGTTCATGTCTACCTACTTAGTGGACACAGCTGCTAACTCTGGGTAAGTACAAGCATATGGCATCCCTGGTTTTATTGCACTTCACTTTATTGTGCATCGTAGATACTGTGGGGTGGGATTTTTTTGTTTGTTTGTTTGTTGTTGTTTTTTACGAATTGAAGGTTTGTGGCAACCCTGCATTGAATAAGTCTGTAAGTTCCAGTTTTTCAACAGCATTTGCTCACTTCATGTCTATGTCACATTTTGGTAATTCTCGAGATATTTCAGACTTTTTCTATATTGTTATGGTGATCACTGATCTTTGATGTTACTACTGCGACTCCCAGAAGGTTCGGATGATAGGCAGCTTTTTAATTAATTTATTTATTTTTGCAATAAAGTATTTTTTAACTAATGTATGTATGTTGGTTTTTTTAGACACAATGTTGTTGCACACTTAATAGGCTATAGTATAGAGTAAACACAACTTCTGTATGCATTGGGAAACCAAAAAATTCCTGGGACTAGCTTTATTGCTATATTTGATTTATTGCAGTGGTCTGGAATGAATATGCAGTATCTGAGGTATACCTGTAATATTACTCTCCATCTAGGTTTCAGAGCACCAGAGGGTGATAGAAACGGCTTAGAAGTTGTCATGGGAATTTTATAATGTAAAGTGCCTGGCGATAGTAAATGCTAAGTAAATGATAATTTTATTTTGTACTCTACTCTTTTCCACAAGCACAGGTATTTACTGGTTGTCCCATCCCTTGTAAGGGATCCAAGGAAGGATGATATGTATTGAATAATGGATATGGTAATGTTTTTAAAAGTAATAACTGGCTTACTGTTTGAAGGCCTTACCAACATTAGAACTAATGGGAGAAGTAACATTTAATCTGTGTTACTTGGTATGATATTTATCTACCTTGTTTTGGTTCCCAAAGGAAATCTGAAATAGAGTATTATGCCATGTTGGCCAAAACTGGTGTCCATCACTACAGTGGCAATAATATTGAATTGGGCACAGCGTGTGGAAAATACTACAGAGTATGCACACTTGCTATCATTGATCCAGGTATGCTTTTTAAATCATAAAGTAATTCTTTTCCTTTATGATGTAATACAAGTATTTCTTGCTATATAAATGTCTTTAGTTTCTAAGTTCAGATGTTGAGGATTTGGATACAGCAAGGGATATCCTGTAATTTTATTTTACAGAGAATTGATAATGAATGTCAGTACAGAATTACCTTTTTATAAATGAAATTCTCTTTACTTTGAGATCATGAGTTTCATTTCATGCAGCACCTAAGAAATGATGACTTCAGGGCCTTGGTAAAAGGTGAAATTATAAAGGGACAGAATAATCAGGTGAAATGGTAGAAAAAAGGAACATTTACTGGCTGCCTGAGAACAGATGGATAAAATTAAGTTGAGAAAAAGAAGGGCCTACAGAAACATGTCATGCTTTGAACTTACGAATTTTTAATTAATTCATAAAATACTGCGAATATTCTCGCTGTTCTGATGTTGTAATAATCAGGGCAGGCTAAACATTCGCTATATTAAGACCATGCATGTGTCCCCGGACCTAGTTCTTTTCCTAGGTCTGGTTTTATAAATGCTGGTGATAAACTAAGTCTGATTTAATTGATGAATCTTATGTGGGAAATGTCTGTGACTCTAGGTATCCTATCAACCTTGAGAAATGGTAGCACAGCTAGTGTAATAACTTTGGAAGATAACAATTGCTAATTTGATGATTACCTGTTGACATTAAATGAATTGTAAAATTATTGTGTTTTATTTTCTAGGTGATTCTGATATCATTAGAAGCATGCCAGAACAGACTGGTGAAAAGTAAATCATGCACAATTTTTCTTTAATAAAACTAGCCAGAGCTTGTTTTAAAAATACTGTATTCATTTCAGTCATTTTTTAAAATTTCTTTTTGTTTCAGTGTACCTTCCTGAAGCTAGGATTAGAGGGCATGGGGCAGCTAGATATATTGGCAAGACTTCCCAGACATTGCTGTTTCTTTCCCTGTTTTTGTAAAGGGAGCACACTGAGTTCCTTTCCTGTACTAGATTTTTAAGAGACTTATTAATTTTCATCATTTTCAGTCTCAGGTTATTGTTATTTTATATTTGAGTATGTCAGAGGCAGCAAGGTTCCATACCCAGAATCTAACCAGAATTGCAATTTACAGTCGAGCTTAAATCCACCAAATCTGAGTAGCAAAGAGGATTAAGTGAAGTATGTTCCTTCCACCCCAAAATTTTCACAGGCTGAGAGAAGTTCTGTTTAATGAAGCAAGGTCTTACCGAAGGATGTGCAGTGGTTAGGGTAGAAGAAATGTACTTGGACAACTTAAGAATATTCCTAGATCTTCAATAGTGTTAATTCCACAGTTTTGCAAAGTGTGTTTTATATAATTATAGTCCTAAAAGATATACTGTGAGGTAGGTTTGGTGTTCAGATTTTGGGGAAACTGCATACTACATCTCCCAAGTATGTCCTATGTAAACCTTTTCCCACATTTAATAATATCCTTTGGAACATTCAAAGGAGTTAACTTGGGGGAAAAATGTTGACTTAGATTTACAGAGCTGAATATTGCTGGTAGGGTATACCCTGCACAATTTGTGTTGGGTTCTAAGGTTGCAGAAGTGTCAGAAATGTCTTTTGGTCTTCAGAATCAATCAACTTGGGTAGGCAGTTTTTGGTGGTAGAGGAATGATCCATAGGAGATGTGGATGCCTTCAGTACACTATCCAGGAAATAGTTACTGAACTTGGAGTCAGAAGGCTACCTCTTAATAGTTATGTAACAGCCATGGGTGGGTCAAATTCCTACTTCCACAGGTGAGGGAATTGGTTTCTTTCAAGCTAGATGTTGCATGATTTTAGTTTATATCTGAAGTTAATCTAATGTTGTGGGTATAATTTGGAGAGTGGCCATTATTAACTAGAGTTTTCTTACCAGTTCATTTACTCAAATTTTCTCGATTAGGGAGTACTACTGACATTTTTCGATGGGACGGTTCTTTGTTGTGGAGGATCGTGGATACTGCTTGATATTTCTCATTCTTGGTTTTCCTTCCATGTTATTGTAACAACACCCCCAAGCGTCACCACGTTTTCACAGCATCTCTTGGTTAAGAGCCACAGTTATGAAATCTTTATCTCTGATAAGAATTCCTTGGTCAGACTACTGCTGATTTCTAATGCTGTTAGTCTATTTCCATGGTCATTGAAATGTTTGTCTTTTGGTTAAGGAAGTTTGTGTGATTATTACTTACTTGGTCAATTTCTTCTTCCCAATTGACCTTTCATGCTATTATGTTTTTTGGTGGGGGGGTTTTGGCTGCGTTGGGTCTTCATTGCTGTGCACGGGCTTTCTCTGGTGCGGTGAGTGGGGGCTACTCTTCATCGCGGTGTGCGGGCTTCTTGTTGTGGTGGCTTCTCGTTGCAGAACATGGGCTCTAGGCGCGGGCTTTAGTAGTTGTGGCTCACAGGCTCTAGAATGCAGGCTCAGTAATTGTGGTGCACGGGCTTAGTTACTCTGGCATGTGGGATCTTCCCAGACCAGGGCTCAAACCTGTGACCCCTGTATTGGCAGGCGGATTCTTAACCACTGCGCCACCAAGGTTGACTAGTTCCAATTAATTTCTTAAGGTTTGGGT